TAATGAATTGCTGATACAATGAAGGCAGGAGAGTAATGAGATACTGGAACCAGCTGAACTGACTGGAGACTGGGAACAGGTGAGAGTGGCAGGCTGACTAAGAAACACTGAGGATGAAATGAGAACTGGCACAGGGAACGATGGGAGCTGAACTAAACACAAGAAACAACAAATTACTCTGAAAAACAGAAAGCAAAACTAAAAAGCCTGATCTAACCAAAATGCACAGATCATGACAAATAAAGGGAAGAAACATATAAACAGGGAAAGAAACAAAGCAGCAAAAACGATCAAAACAAACACTTTTAGTGTAAAAAAAAAAAAGTCTTAAGCAATGTCCACTTCATTCATATCTTCCTCCGAAACAGTTTTTAATCGACCAATTTGTTGGATATCAATAAAAAAATAGATATGTAATATTCATTCCATACAATTATACTCATTTATTTAAGATTTGTTTATATATGTAGAATATATACATATAGGTCAGTGGCAAGTTATTTATACTTCATGTTTCTGAGTATTTTGACATAATATTTTAGGGTTGACTCAGCTTCTGGGCTGACTGCACTCATTACCACCCATTTGTAAAAGATAAAGTCGGGGGGGGGGGGGTGTCTGTTAGCAAAATATTTCATGTGCCACTGAACAAATTTCAATGAAACTTTTAGAAATAAGTGGATGAGCAGTGCATGTACAACTGATTGACTTTTGGAGTTAACCCAATTCAATACGGCTGCCTGACGGTAAACGACTCACTAAAAATGGTGACAACATCACTTTTACAGATATAGAGCACAAATTTGCCGAGGCACTATCTGAGTGCCATGCACAACGCATACTCTTAATGTGACATCTTGCAGTATTGCATGATGGATAACATTTTCAAGGTTTGATCAAATGACTAAAACGCTTTTTTATTTTTTTTATTTTTTACTTTAGATGATTTTAGTCTAAAATTCTGAAAGGCAGCAGGAGATATGCATTCCTTCAACGAGTGCTAGAACTTTAATTTAAAAAAAAACCAGTAATTTATCCTCCGCCTTAATTTTATAACCTATGAAAGGTGAATGAAAAGTGTTGCTAATTTGACCGACCCAATCAAATAAATCAAACTCAGCACTATAAAAATGTAATTATTCCTAAACCAAGCCCAAACAGACAACATTACATGAGCATGTAAAGTCTGGAAAGTGTTTCATTTTAAAGCTTTAGAGTGCAATAAGTTTAGCAGGAAATGCCTACAAATTGTCATGGATCCACATCTGAAAACTGCTTGAAAAACATTTCAGCACAAAAAAAGAAACTGTCCAGATGACCTGACTGAAAAATGTTGGATTGTATACCTGGATTATTGAGCATGGACTTTGTTGTTTTCAACCAGTTTGACATGACTGTCAACAAGGAAGAGGGCCGGCAATGGAGGAGGGGTGCACCAAAGAGACCATCTTATCACAAGCAGAACTGGATTGTTCCACTTTGGAGTAAGCTGTTGGAGGAAGAATCAGTTTTGTTGTGTTTCCTTGACTGATGAAGCCTTCTGGATCGAAGGCGAAACGTTTCAGCACAAAAAAAGAAACTGTCCAGATGACCTGACTGAAAAATGTTGGATTGTATTCCTGTATTATTGAGCATGGACTTTGTTGCTTGAAAAAGTGTTTACAATCCACTCAACAGACAAGTTCGGCACAAGAAATAATTTGTAAAGAAATGCTGAACCTTACCAATTAAAGAATCTTGATGAATCTTTTATTTGCTGAAGAACGTTTGAACATCGCTGATAATATGCAGTTTCACATGTGAGTAAAGGTGGAAGCTTTTTGTTGTTAGCTTTATTTAAAACCTTAATTTACAATTTACCTACTACTTTTAAGCTGGATATCATGGATTTACTTCAAATGAATTCCAGATTTAACAGTCATAAGGCTTTAATTTGGTATGTAAAAAGAACTCACTTGAGAGGATATGAGGGTTTGTTGTTTTTGTTTTTTATTTGTTTGATATGAGCAAAATTCTGATAAATTTGTATACAGTACAGCAATACATAAAGTACTACAATTATGTTCAGATATATCCCTAACCATAACCCTAACCTTGTAAATCTGTGAAAACCTTCTGAACCTGCTAGGAGGTAGAGGAGGGACAGTCTGAAGGAAACCTATGGGGATGATAACAACTGATAACATCCATTTTATGGGTGATGATAACATTATGGGGATGATAATAACTGATAATGTCCACTTAATGGGTTATAAACATGAATGCCAATCAGCAATTTGTGTTGAGCTTCCTTTCAATCCCTGCACAGAAACTTAACACGCTATAAAAGGAATTTGAAAAATAAACAAAAGAAATGTTCTCCTAATGGGGAGTTCTTCGACTCCTTTAAAATGACGTTCCATCAGCAGCCGTGTTTACTTAAACCTTCAAAGCTTTGCATTCCTCAGCAGCAGAAAGCTGGTCATTTACACCTACAGGAATAAACACCTTTTAAAGGAAACTAATTATGCTAAACCTGCATGAAAGAATTCAAAATATTCCGGCAAGGCCCATTTTAGCAACATAAAAGGTTTGAAAACAGAAACGATGAGCAGAAATGCACTCTTATCTCACCGTTACTCACTTTGCCTAATTAGGGACGGTTAAGGGAACGTTCAAGTCACCAAAGCTACAAATGGGTTCCCAAGTCGTCCCCGGCCCAGGGGAACCGAGTGTGGAGCAACGCCGGAATGAAAATCATCGAATGACAGCCGTTTCACGATAACGCATTCATCAAAAGATGCTACAGGAGGTTCCCCGACTTCAAAAAGAGGGAAGCGAAGCCTGCTCGCGTTTCAGAACACGCGTGAGTTTTATTTGTACGTTATGTTCAGACGGATGCTGCTCCTGTAGGCTGAAGCTGCTTTTCTCAGATTCCTGAAGCCAAAGCTAACTGAAGGTGTATGAAATGAGATGCGATGTCTGTGGCTGCAGACTGTCATCCAAACAGTCTGATAGCTTCTTCACAGATAAGGCTTTAGATAACACACTGAGTGTTTAGTGTTTGTTTGTTTTTTACAGTCACAAGAAGGACTGAACATCTTAGATACAGCGTGGAAGTAATTATCTGCAGCTCAGATGAAAGGTGCATCAAACAAATTCCAATATTCAAAGATAATTAGCTTCTGGTTTCCATTTAGGCGCAGGTGTGAAAACGATCCTGCAGGTTGCACAGCTGCGTATTTACACTGATAATCATGAGGAATCCTCAGTAGGTTTTAAACTCTCAAGTATTTTTTGGAAGAAACTGAGCTGCTTGAAACGTGAACAAATGTGAAGCTCTTTAAGAGACTGATACAGGAAGTGAAGATCTGTTTAAAGTTCATGTCATGAACACGACGGTCCTCAGGGAGCGAGTGGGGAAGGAAAGAACAAAAAACTAATGTGACACGGGTGAGAGAGAGAGAGGGGTAAAGGAAGGGAAGGGAAGGGAAGAGGTGAGGCTTTTTACAACCTGAGGAAAGGAAACGCCAAAACGAACGAAACAAAAGGGAAAAAAAGGAAATTAAGTGAAATGCTGAAAGGAAAGGAAATTAAAGGAAATGAAAGTAAATGCTGAAAAGAAAGGAAAGGAAATGAGAGAAAATGCTGGAAGGAAAGAAAAGGAAATCACTTCAAGGAAAGGAAATAGGGAAGAACAGTTGTCAAAGGAAATAAAATAAAACAGGCATATAGAAAAAAGAAACAGGAAAATGAAACAAGAAGGAAAAAAGGAAAAGAAAAAATACTGAAAAGAAGGGAAACAAAGAGGAGAAACAAGGACAAGAAAAGAAATGGAGATCATGTATGGAAAAATAAGGAAAGAAAAGGAAAAGGAACTGGAAACAGGAAGAGAGATAAAAACCTGATGATTGTTTTTAATTATTTTCAATCTAATATATATATATATATATATATATCCCTCTTTCTCTTTTCTCTCTCTCTCTCTTCCTTACAGCTACATCATGGATGCGTTGGAAAACTAAAAACAGGCGGAAAGGGAGAAAAGACTGTGGACGTGCTGAGTCTCATCATCATCAAGCTCAGGAGACACACAGAGAAACACGTTTTACATGGAAACACCATTTCCTCCATGTTTGAGAGATTAGCAGCTCGTTCTCCGTCACTATTTTTCCTCTTTTCTCCTTGAACTTACTCTTCAACACAACTCATGCCGCCAGAGTGTTGCCAAAACGAGTAAAGAGGGAGCTTTCTTGTCAGCTGAGGCAGCCAGAAGCCCTTTTCCTAAAACCCTAACAGTCACAGAGAAGAAACACAAACTCGGGTACTGTCGGGGAAAAGACTCACATCTTGACACATTTGGCGCTTTAGGTGCCAAGGATGTTGGTATTTTGACTCCATTTAGTGGGAAGAGGAACGCGGTCACTCTAAAAGCTGCTGGAGCTTCAATTTCACCATCTAAGCTCTGTCACACTGTGCAGAGCTTAAATAAAATCCACTTCTGTCACCAAGCATGATCTGTGCACTCGGATATCTCCACACCAAAGCCCTGTGACAATTAAAAATAACTGGATTTATCTGAACAAAATCTGTTTGGACTGAGAGTAAAACCAGGAAGTTTCGAGCTAAACAATGAAGAGGCATTTCTGCCCCCTGCTGACAAATAAAAAGGGGCAGATTCAGCACCAGGGACAGTTCCAGCTGCTAAACATCTGCTCTTCATTAAAACATCTCACGAGCGAAACTGCTCAACAGTTTACACATGCACATAAAACACACCTCTGAGATGTCATAATTTTATTCTTTTACACTCAGAGTGCTCAGAAAGGTGTGTTGTGCAAACGGACAGTTGTGCATGTCAGATTGTTTCCTCCAGTGTTTGTAGCAGCGTGGGTGATGAAATCCTCCACAACAACAAGCGCAATAACTGGGATCCAGCCTGCGCAGCGCCAGATGTGCACCCCACTGAGATGGACAATTAAAAAAAAAAGCAAGCAAAAGGTTGAAAAATGATGTCTTACCACGCTCCAAGCTCAGATTTCTGCAAACCTCAAGCTCTGCCATTTGGAACTGGAGTTGATGGTCTCACAGGGTCCCTCCATGCGCTTTGGGCATCGTTGATTTGGATTATTCCCTACCATTGCCATCCAGACATGTCCGACTGGTCCGTTTCTCCATGGTGATCAGGTTCAAATAAAAGTCTGCCATCATGAGAATGAAGTGTCACTTTCTTTATTTTTGCCTAAAGACTAAAGCGCCCCAAGTTCAGGAGGAGCAAAGGGCTCCCCGGGTCCTGCGCCGTCACACCAAAATCTCTCACATCCACGTCGTCCGCTCACGCGCGCACATCCTCTGTGCTCTCATGGAGGGGAAGCGATAAGCCGATTTCTCACGCGCTCGGAGGGCTGAGGAGACCAGAAGGGCTGGTGATGAGCTGCAGCGCAAAGAGGGAGAGAGAGAGAGGACTGAGGGGCGTGCGGACCGGACACCAAACCAGACCAGACAAGGCCATTTGGGGGAGTGGGTGAGGGGGGGGGGATTACTAGTTGCTGCAGGTTGTTCTAAAATTATTTCATCCAGTTTGGCTGTTGATGCAGATTTTCCTTCGTTGAATATCTTGAGGAGGAGAGGAGGCATCATTGCGCAGCACTCTGACCCACTTTGCGCCGCCCGCCTCAATCATTTTAGGTGTTGTTGCTTCCCCAAAGACCCAAGAGAGGAACTGGGGGGGGGGGGGGGGGGGGGGGGGGGGATTTTATTTATCAGGCCAGTCTGAAACCATGTGTGGTTCCATCCAGGAGCCATTTCTCTGATGAAAGGCTCCCAGATTAGTTCTGGTCCACGTGAAAACCATTTCGTTGTAGTGCAGAACTCACGTGCAGAGGTTTACTATACCTGATTTACTGCACGACACATTCATGCAGGACTAAACTACTAAACTGCTCAGGGGGCCACAGTTACTGAAAGCTGAGAGCTCAGGGGCCGGACATCCAGCAGTTATTGTCATTAATTGTTTTACGATTTAAAATGGTTTTATTTCAAAATGAAGCCCATTGATGGGCCGAACTGAGCGCATCCGTGGGCCTGATTTGGCCCCTGGGCCACCAGTTGAATAGTCCTGCATAATGTTTTATCAGGTGTTTTTGTATTTTGTCTGTCGTGTTAGCAAAACATCTAAAGAATCACTGGGTGGACTACAATGAAACTTTCAGAAAGTGACCACCTGATTAGCTTCTACAAATATTTAGCTCTCCGAGCTAATCCAATTAAAGATGGCCGCCGAAGCAAACTATTACAAAATGTTAAATTGAAAGTAGCTCTGTCAGTTTTACAGATATTAGGCTCAAATTTGGTGTGGTAGTAGTTGAGAGTCATCCTCAACTAATTCACTGAAAAGTAACTCATTCTGCAAGATCTGTTTAAGAAACTTTACCTCCAACTATTGGAGTCAACTCTGTCTGTTAGCAAAATATCTCAAAAACTACTCGACAGATTATGATGAAACTTAAAAATAAATAATTGTTGTGTTTACGTCTACAACTGATTAACGTTTGGAGTCAATACAATTCAAGACAGTTGCCACAGCCAGCTGATCTTAGAAAACACAAAAACGTCTATAACTCAGTCGGGTTATAAGAGCACTAACAGATCTTGCGTGATTTTGCAATAGTGTGCATGAAGTTTGATTAAAACTGTTATATCGTCTTCCCTTCTTGTCATAAAATGACTTAGTCTAAAAGTTTTACACAAACTGTGCAACATGCATTCCCCTAATGCATGCTGGGACGTTAAATGACAAAAACTTTGTTACCAAGCACTGAATTTGATGCTGCACGTGCCCCGGCATGTGTTTTCTACATCTGCATCATGTGTGACAGCAGCAGGTATTCCCAGTGACTGCTCTATTTGATTCATGGTTCACCTTTTTATGCACATCTGTCTGACCCCAAAGTCCCCTCCTCTCCTGCCCCGACTGATTTATGTACCATGAACAAAACCAAACCATCAGGCGCTCTGCATTTCACACAAAAAAGATCCAAAATTGGAGACAAACTGAGGGAAACTTGAAGAAAGAGAAAGTCATAAGTTTAAAAAGAGCTCTTCAGCTGAGAGGGAAGGACAGACTGTGACATGAAGGGATAGATATGAACAAACATCTGGAGTTTGGCAAAAATACAAGATGGTTTCTTTCATGTGTGGGTCAATTCTTCTAGAAAATACAAGACATTCTTGAATTCTTGTTGGATTTTCAGAGCAGGTGGTCCATTTTTATTTCCAAATTTCAACTTTTCCCTAAATAAATATAGTATCAAAAGGAAAAGAAACATAAATGTGATAAAATCATAACGTCTAAGTGAGACAGGCAGTGAAACAGAGTGGTGTGTTTGCTCCTCGTCAGCTGTAGAGCACTGACACACTCCAGACTGCTCACAAACAGGAAGCCACACACGAGCAGGAAGTAGATCCTGGCTGCAAACGGTGAGCCTGCTGTGGGTCTAACATCCACAGAGGCAAACCACCTTATCAGATTTGTCACGGATTTATCTGGCGGGTCGGTCAGTGGGAAGCCTCACATCTCAGGAGCACACAGCATCAAATCAAACGCACCCTGAAACATGACTGGATTTAGTTCTGCTTTGAGGGAGCTCCTTTAGAGTTTGGCATAACACCATGGATACGCCTATGGGTGCTCGAGAAAATGTGTGCCGAGAAAAACAGATGAAATGTTCAGGTCTTTTGAAATGAGCTTATAAACAATCAATATCTTACCTGTTGTAGATAGCCCTTTGAGAAATAGTTGAATTCTTATTCACAGCTGTTCATGCAAATGTCATTTTAGAAACCTTTACATTGAAGGTAATTTTATATCACAGCATTATTCCAGCAGTGATGTGTCTGCAAAAAAGTGCTTCAAGCTGCACTAGAAGTGCTACAGCTGGCTGCTGCTGTCATTATCTTCACTTGGCAGGCTTCAGACTGATGAAGTCTTTCAGATGAAAGATGAAACGTTCTCCAAAAAGGGAACTTGTCCAGATGACATGATTTAATCTTTTTTCTATTTATTTACCTGATGATTGATCTTGCAAACCTTTAACCATAGAATTATGTGAAACTATAATGTCAAACTGGCTGCTGTTTCCTAAAACAGCTTAATAATTAGTATGTCATTGTTGAAAGCAATTTTTGTTTACACTTTGTGTTTAAGTGACTTATTTTTCTTTCTGGGTCACTTCATGGACATGCAAGTGTTTCAAGTTTTGTTGCACTGGGACGTATTTGACTGCAGCACCTTCCTCCAAAAACACACATGAGGAGCTATCTGGACAGAATTAAATCACTCCTCCAAACTGCTTTCTTTAAATAGCTATCTACAACAGGTAAGATATTATTTTATTGTTTGTAATGTTTCCACAGAGTTTCAGTGGGTCTGAACTGCTTTAATTTTTATATGGCGATTAATGGAAATATCCATTGAAGAAAAACTTGTCTGAGCCACCAACAAAGTTCAGTCAGGGCATCTGGATGGTTTCTTTTTTTGCTGAGAGGTTTCGTCCTTCATCCAAAGGACTTCTTCAATCTGAGGAGCCACCAGACAAGCTGAGTCCCACAAGCAGCACACTCTCATAGTGGAGAGAAACAGTTTGCTGGTGCTAAGATGGTTTCTGGGGCCCGCCCTCTCCCCCGTCAACTCCTCTGAGGTAGCCATGCCAAAATGGTTCAAAACACCAAAGTTCATGCGCAATAATCCAGGTAACAATTTGTGAGTAAAAGTTTGTGCTGCTGTTCGGCATTATGCTATTCGTGCTTAGTGTATTTTTAGTTTAACGTTTTTCTTAGTTCATATCTTAGATCTTATTACTGTTTTTCTTTTACATTTTAATATTTTATTGTCGGACGTAACTGGGACCCTGTATACACAATTTTGTTCCACCACATGTACCACATGTGGTGCGAATGACAAATAAAGAACCTTGAATCCTTGAAAAATTCAACAATGTTCAGTCAGGTCATCTTATCACCAGCAAACTGTTTTTTTTTTTTTTGTTTGTTTGTTTGTTTGTTTGTTTTGTTTATTTTTTTTCCCCACTATGGGAGTGTGCTGCTTGTGGGACTCAGTTTGTTTTGTGGCTCCTCAGATTGAAGAAGTCCTTTGGATGAAAGGACGAAACATCTCAGCAAAGAAAGACACCGTCCAGATGACCTGACTGAACATTGTTGGATTTTTACCTGGATTATTGTGCATGAACTGTGGCATTGTCTGAGCCACCTTTAAAAAATAAAACAAGGAGGACAGCAAGTATAGAGATTTTTGTAAACATCTTTTCTGAGCAAAGTCCTACATGTGCAGTTTTTGGTTTTATTGCACAAGCTTCAGCAGCTTGTAGAGAGGTTAGGTGCAACTTTCACAACATTACCCTTGTCACTTTCAGACACTGAAATCTGATTAGGTGGCAGTGAGTCTCCCCCTAGTGCTCACTCCCACGACATACTATCAGAGAGATTACCGTGGTATAATCTGTGTTCTGTACGGTGTGTTATTATCTTTGACTTTGAAACTTACGATGAAATATGCTGTTGTCAGCCAGGAAGTGCCGGCAGTACTGTGGCTCCCCTTTCCTGTTCACCACCCAGGCGCTCATGATGAGAGGAGGACCACCTCAGGGGGAAAGGAGAATCAGAGTGAATGGTCTTTTAAAGGAATTTGACAAATTTCAGAGTCAGAGTCAGAGTCAGAGTCATTTGACATAAAATAAAGCAAATATCCACAACAACAATAAAATTATTCATATTTTCATCGCCCTATGTCAAAAGGCGATGGCCTGTGATGTGTGTGTATGTGTGTTTGTGTACATGTCTGCTTCTAAAATCTCTCATGAACCGCTGGACAAGTTGTGTTTTTTTTTGTTTGTTTGTTTTTTTATTAGAGCAACATTTATTTCTTTTGCATTTTGAATGAAAGCAGTCAGATTTTGGTTTCACTGCAGGCCAGAATTATAATAAATGCAAAACATCTCAAATTTGCTAAAGAAGCAAAAACTGGACAAAAAGAACAGAAGTTAGAAGTAGAAAAGAGCTAGCTAAAAATGGCAACAACAACAAAAATAAATAAATAAATAAATAAATAGTGAGCCAAAAGCTTAAAATAGCAAAAGGATAGCTAAAAGTACCAAAGTGCTAAACATGGCAAGAGAACGGCTAGAAAGACGCTCAAAGTTGCAAAAGCCTGGCTAAAATCTAAGATGTTTGCTAAACACTACAACTATCAAAAGATAGCA